CTGAGCACTGTCCCTGAGCTTCTTTTGCTCAAGGCTAATTCTCTACCACTTGAGCCAAAGTGCCACTTCTGTCTTTTTCTGTTTATGTGGTACTGAGGAATCAAACCCAGGGCTTCATGCATGCTAGGCAAGCACTCTACCAGTAAGTCACATTCCCAGCCCCTGATCATTTTATTGACTGTAATGTGTATATCAGCAATTCAGTATTCTTTTTAGCCCTTTTCTGTGCCTTAGCTTCCCTCTCTATAAAATAGCCATAACAGTACTCATTTCAGAGAAGGATCAAAAGAATTTATTAAGTACTTAGAACCATGCCAAGCACATTGTAAGCATGTGTTTCTTAAATAAGTGCTTATGTGCACATCCATTTTATATATTTTGCAAGAAAAATTTTAATTTACAAAATGTTCAAGTAATTTTAACCTTCCATTATTTGCACACTTGTAAGTACAAGAAATACACTTCAGAAAGATTAAAGTATTGCCTTATGATTAAACTGTGAAATTTCATTGCAGATGCATATATGTGAATAAAACAATACAATAGGTTTTTTTTGGCCTCAGAAATAAGTTAAAATTGTTTAAATCTACCATGTTGCCTCATGACTACTGTTATCAGCAAATAAATTAATACTATCTAAAGAAATACAAAAGTAATGACAGCAATCAGGTTTTTATTCTTTTTTCTTTTTGGCACTTGGGATTGAAGGTAGGGCCTCACACTATCTATGCAAGCACTACCACTTGAGCCATGCCTCTAGCCCTTTTATTTTTTTTAAAGGAAAAGTTTCCTTTTCCCCCCTTACTTGCCTGCTGTTAAGTCTGGAAAGTAGCAATCATTTTAATAATGTTTTTTGTTTGTTTTTGCTTTTTATTTTTATTTTTTTCTTGGTCGTGGGGCTTGAACTCTGAGCTTGATTGCTGTCTCTCAGCTCTTCAAGCTCAACATGAGCCACAGCACCACTTCCGGTTTTCTGGTAGTTTATTGGAGATAATAGTCTCACGGACTTTCCTGCCCAGGCTGGCTTTGAACCGTAATGCTCAGATCTGAGCCTCCTGAGTAGCTAGGATTACAGGCGTGAGCCACCAGTGCCTGGCAGAAAGTAGTAATCATTTTAGAGGGTATTCCAGACTCTGCTGGCTTCCCTGGTCTGGGTTTCTAAGAAGATAGACTCTTCTTCCATAGCAGTACTTGGCTGCAACCTCCATTTCTTAGCATGGATGTAAAGCACTCCCAGTAAATACATGTGCTCTAAGAGATTTATGTAACCTTGGGGACAAAAACTGGATTGCTGAGAATTTAATAGGGACACAACTCAGAAGACACATAGAAATGTGCTTTCTGACCTACGGGTTGTTTTCATGTCTCGTTTTGTATTACAAGTTGAATATCCCTATTTAGAAAATCTGACATCAAATTCTGAACCCTTTTCAGCACAGACATGACACTCCAAATGGAAAATTCCATGGCCACCTTGCATTTCTGGTCACAGTCAAAACACAGGCACACTACAAATATTGCAGACAATTACTTTCAGGGTATGTGTATGAGCTTTACATAAAATAAATGCATTTTTGTGTTCAGACTGGGGCTCTATCCCCAAGATACCTCATTACAAATATATAAACATTCCAAAGTCTGATAATGTTAGAAATTCAAAGCACTTCAGATCCAAAGCACTTCAGATAAAGCATACTCAACACTCCTTTTACTAGAACTACCATATTGTTTTCTAGTAATAGTTAATCATTAAGATTTTTTTCTTGCATGTTGTTTTGTGAACCAATCTTTCGAGATCAAGATAAATGAAGATGTATAATTTCCAGCCACCATGAAACTCCTTCCTCTTCCTTGCAGATAACGAGATCAAGCCAGCCTTACCTTCTTGCCCTTTTCTCTATACAGCCTCTCCTCCAAGCTCAGAAAGCCTTTTCTACTACGGCTCAGCCCTCCAGCCCCAGGGAGCTGGGGGGAAGAATAGGAGGAGTACATCTTCCAGTTAGGTAGGTAAAGCTTGCATTATAGCTTCATCTGCAGACATAATAGTTTAAAAGTTGTTTAAGGTCCTTATCACCAAGGTGATATAGGATACCTACACTGAAAATTATATAGGCTTCTGTGCATTGAGTCAGGGCTTAATGCTTCAACATTACTTCTGTTAAAAAAAATTAGTCCAGGGCTGGGAAAGTGGCTCAGTGGTAGAGTGCTTGCCTTGCATGCATGCATGAGGCCCTGGGTTCAATTCCTCAGCACCACATGAGCAGAAAAAGCCAGAAGTGGCACTGTAGCTCAAGTGGTAGAGCACTAGCCTTAAGCTGAAGAGCTGAGGGACAGTGCCCAGGCCCAGAGTTCAGGCCCATGACTGACCAAAAAAAAAAAAAATTAACCCAAATATCTCAACTCAAATGAACTTTTTCAAGAGCACCTGAGTGGAGCACTCTTCTACATACACCAACATATTCAGAGAATACACAGTTTCCATTTCTACTAGTCACTCTATCCATATATCTGTCCCTACCATCTTTTTATATCAAGAATAGTTATTAAAGGAATGTCAAAAGGAAAAGTGAAATTTAGGGCTAGAGGTTTGACTAAGTTGTACAGTACTTGCCTCACATGCCAGTACTGCAGGAGAAGGGAGATTAAGATTTAAATAATAAAGGTAAACAGTTACATTTATTTAGTCAAATAAATGGTGTATTTACAACAGTGTAAGCAATTTCCCTTTATTTTATTGCCAGTCCTGGAGCTTGAAGTCCGGGTCTGGGCACTGTCCCTAAGCTTCTTTTGCTCAAGGCTAGCACTCTACCACTTGAGCCACAGCACCACTTCTGGCTTTCTCTGTCTATGTGGTACTGAGGAATCACAGGGCCTCATGCATGCTAAGCAAGCACTCTACCACTAAGACACATTCCCAGCCTTACAACTTCACTTTTGAAGCTTCAGTTTCCTTACCTCAGGATGTCATACTCAATTTCTAGCACTACTTTTTAAACTGGCCTAATGTAAATACCTAGTGTTAAGTCAAGCATATAGTGCTATTTCCCAATTTTCCCCTTTTACTTAATCTCTTGGAATTGTTTTACTTCAATAAAATATTTTGGAACCACATTTGACTTTCAGACACTCTAAAGTTTTCTCTATGGTTGCATATCTACCCATGTACCTGCTTGACTATTTCAGGTTAATATCTAAAATAGACTATGTGGGCACCATTGTCTCACGCCTGTAATCCTAGCTGTGTAGGAGGCTGAGATCTGAGGATCACAGTTCAAAGCCAGCCCAAACAGGAAAGTGTGTGAGACTCTGATCTCCAATAAACTACTCAGAAAATGACGGAAGTGACATTGTGGCTGAAGTGGTAAAGCACTAGACTTGAGCACAGAGAGGCTCACGGACAGAGCGCAGGCCTTGAGTTCAAGCCCCAGGATTGGCAAAAATTAAATAAAAATAGACTACAGGAATAAGGATCAAATAGGATTCAAAGAGCTTACCTATGCTGACCATTACAATCATTGTTGAACCAACTCATCTCTGCCTATTTCCCCAAATCCTTGATCTTTACAGCACTTTTTAGACTTTATATTTTTTCTTTGTCTTTTCTGAAGAGGGATTTAAGACTCTCTTAACAGCCTCATCCCAAATCCTCTCTTAGTGATAATAGTGACACCAAGTGTTATTTAAATCAATCAAGATACAAGTTTGATTGGCAAATAAAATTTGTGTGTGTGTGCACGCGCGCGTGTGCGCGCACGCATGCACATATGTGCTTGTGCCAGTTCTGGGGCTTGAAATCAGAGCCTGGACACTGTCACTGAGCTTTCTTGCTTAAGACTAGTGCTCTACCATTTGCACCACAGCTCTGCTTCCATTGGTTCCACTTTTTGCTTGTTAATTGGAGCCATCAGTACCTGGCCGACAAGTAAGATTTTATTTAATGCTTTTCCAGGTGGTTTTTTATTTATTAGTAGGTACAACTCTGCAGAGTCAAGGGCAAGGGCAAGGAGCAGCATTTTGCAATGTCAGCTAGTATAGGTGAACTGTGGGAAGGAGTCTGCTATCCATGAGGGCCTGGCTGGTCTCAGATGAGCAATGTCCATGACTACATTTCCATGACGACATTTCCTCCCATACTCTGGTACTTGCCTTCCCACTGGCTGACAGTCAGGGAACTGCCTGCAGAGCTGCCTGTTGGTTTAGATTTGGTATTTGCTCCTTACTTATTAACACTATACTCCTTGATTTACCCAGGTTTCTCTGCATACACATAAGTTCCAGCCTTGCCTGCCAAGCATGATCTCAAGGTTTTACATAAGATGCAGCCCTGCCTGCCAAGCATGATCTCAAGATTTAAAAAAAATACTCTCCCAACTGGGCGCTAGTGGCTCATGCCTGTAATCCTAGCTACTCAGGAAGCTGAGATCTGAGGATCACGGTTCAAAGCCAGCCCAAGCAGGAAAATCCATAAGACACTTATCTCCAATTAACCACCAGAAAACCGCAAGTGGCGCTGTGGCTCAATTGGTGGAGCCCTTGCTTTGAGCTGAAGAGCTCAGGGTCAGTGCCCAAGCCCAGAGTTCAAGCTCCACAATCAACAAAAATTAAAAAATAAAAAATACTCTCACTAGCATGAGGAAAACCTGAAAATCTAAGGGACTTACTATAATTCACAGCCAACTCTCCTCCTTAAAGAAATCACATATTTAAACCCACATTCTAAATTGTTATTCCCTTCAGTTTACAGAAAGATCAGAAAGCTCTTTTTCAAAGTAAAATGCAAGGTTCTCTTCCCCTTATAAAGATGGCCTTCTTAAGTGCTACAACCATACAAGCAAAGCTGGAAATGTCTACATACCCTACATTTACTGTGTGGTTGCATGTTCAAGGTTCATTCAGGTGGCTTAATGGGAAGCTAACATGTCTGGTTTGACAGTAATCTTCACGAGTGATAATTACAATATTGTAGTGCAGAAATTAGCACAAATAAATAGGCAAAAAAGTAGACCTATAAAAATGTAAGTCTTTAACTTACTAATCCACTACATCTTTGACAGCAATATTAGATTAAAATGGTCCAGAGGACAAAGTGCATAATTAATGATGAGAAAATGGTTCCTTCAAGTCTTAAAATACAGAGTTCTCCCTGTATTAGTCATTTATCTAGTTTTATTCATGTGAAATTGACAGTTACTTCTTGCTCCTCTCCCCTTCGTTCCAGTACTGTTCAGTCTGCATTTCTGTGAGTCGGGAAATTGTGCGCTGAAATGCAAAGATTTCCTCTTCTCCAGTAAACATGGAAAGCCCTTCTGCTGATTCCTGGTTACAAAAACAAAAAAAACAAAACAGCACCAATTAAAGCCACCCAAATGAAAACTTATAGAAGTACACTTTTTTCAAAAAGAAAAGCTTTGAGTAACCTATTTAGATTTAAAATTGCTATATAATTTCTTCAAATACTATCCTCCTAAGTGAATCTACAGAATCAACAGATCAAAACTGATAGGCTATAAAGAGAACAAACTGCCAGGAAAAGTTACTCTCCTTCCTCCAAATGGGCTTTTGCCGGGGCAGAAGAACTGAAGTCTTCGTTCTTAGAGTTTGTGTTGGTATTTTACATCTTGACTAATGTTTGCATGGTCACTTTTTGAGAAATATAGACTGTAATATTCTTACAGAAGTAAATACAAAGTCAATTCTGCTTGGCCTGAGGCAAATCTAGACTCCAAGCTCCAGAAGAACTGGGCAAGCATCAGCGTGTGTCTTCATAGCCTATCACCCACAAGTATCCCTGAAATGTTTGCTAAAAGAAGATTCGGAGATGATTAATGGATTTCTTTTTTCAGCAAGGGCCTTCCTGAGTACTTCTTGAGTCTAGACTAACTAACCCACACATTTGGATTCTATCTCATGCACTGCAGATTTAGCAATCATGAAGAACATCCAGAAAAACATGGTACAGCAGGGAAAGCCTGAAACCAGAAAGTTCCAGGTATGGCCCACCATTACTCAGCAGTGTGACTGTGGGCCATTAGTCCATCTCTCTGGAGTTCATTCTGATGGTCTGATGTGATCACTGAGTATTCCTTCTACTCTTAAATGGTAATTCTCTGAAGTTACTGATATTGAGGATAAGTCTGCTACACTTGAGTGAAAAGAAGGCAGCAAATCAATGGTTAACTATCTGAATTCTTTCTTCAAAATGTAACATGTATCAAACCAAAACAATTAAGCTGTTTTATAATAAAAAGAGATTATGTTAATATCATCTACCTGGCTCAGTCCCAAATCATCCATCAGTATTCTGCTTTGCTCCAACACACTGTCATCATGTTGATACAAAAATAAGCTTGATATAGGAGTCGACGCAGAACAAATTACCCGCACCTGTAATAGAAGAAAATAAGTAGATGGTGTTACTCTTTACATTTACCAAGTTGAAAGTAAGAAAAATTTCTCATAAGATAAAAAAATAATCTGTTCTTTCGCAAAGGGAGCTTGGATCTCTGCTTTTAAAATGTCCATACTTTTTCTAATAGTTTGTAGTTAATAGATGTATTGAAACTGAATAGTATTTTTCCAAATATTTCTACACAGACTATACCCCATGGAAAAGTATGGAGCAAAGGTTTAATTGGGACACTCCAGGCCAGCAGGGACCTGAGCCAAGGTCTTCTGGTGCTAAGCATAATGTTCTTTGCATTGCTGCTATGATTTACATGTTTGTGTGCTCTCCAAAATTCATGTTGAAACTTATTCATAGTATAGTATTATTAAAATGTAGGGAATTTCAAGAATGACTGAGCCACAAGAGCTCCAGAAAGATCTGCCTGAGTTCTTTTTTTTTTTTTTTTTTTTAATCCCAGTCCTAAGGCTTGAACTCAGGGTCTGAGTACTGTCCCTAAGCCTCTTTGTTCTCAGGCTAGTGCTCTACCACCTGAGCCGTGGCACCACTTCTGGCTTTTTCTGAGTAGTTCATTGGAGATAGGAGTCTCACAGACTTTTCTGCCCAGGCTGGCTTTGAATTGTGATCCTCTGATCTCAGCCTCCTAAGTAGTTTAGGATTACAGGTGTGAGTCATTGGTACCTGTCTCCTGTCTGAGCTTTGATCATAGACTTTATAATCTCCTGAACTGTAAGAAATAAATTCCTTTTATTTATGATTTTCCCAGCATGTGATTATTTTGATATAGAAGCATAAACAAGCTAGGACAATTATACTTGGCTCTCAACTTTTATGTCTCTGTGGAGCTGGTCCCTGTGTGTTGGCTCCCACATGCACTATAAAAGAGGTAGTTATATAACTTTACTGAGTAGCTGACAGCCAAATTCAGCCCATTATTCCTTTACTCCTTTATCCCTAGCTTCTAGAACCTACATTTGTAGCAGCATCCTGTCAGGACATTCTTCAAAAAGACTAGGCATGTGTGATAATATATTATAAGTGGCTTTTATATATTGCATGTTCAGCAGTTTAAATGCAAAACATACTTTTCTTCATATTTAAAACATCCTGGGGGCTGAGAAGGTGGCTCAGTGGTAGAGTGCTTGCCTTGAATGCATGGGGTCCTGGGTTCAATTCCTTAGTACCACATAAACAGAAAAATCCAGAAGTGGTGCTGTGGTTCAAGTGGTAGAGCACTAGCCTTGAGCAGAAGAGCTGAGGGACAGTGCCCAGTCCTAAAGTACAAGTCCTACAACCAACAACAACAACAAAAAAAATCCTGGTATTTTCAGGATTCCTATGTATCCTTTAAAAAATATACTAATACTTTAAAATAACATGCTAATATTTGGGACTCACTTTCCCATATCCAAATAGCTTTCTATCACCACTAATAAATTCTATTTATCACAAATGATACTTTTCATTATTTAAATGATAACACCCTTATTTTACAAATCTCCATGACTATATTCTATAATACTGTGTATTGCTCTCAATTTATGAAATAAGATAATTTGGGCTACACTTTAATATAGCGTATAATCTCTAGGTGCATGATTTAGTTGGAGCTAATGGTGAGAGCACTTTGTACATGCCAGTCTATTGCCAGACCAATCTTTCTTTCCTTTAAATAAAGAAGTAAGTGTGAGGTAGGATTGGGTAGTAAGGGATGTGGGCACAGGCTTTAAGATATGGCCAACTGAATTATATAAACATAATGAAATTCTTGTTCCTCCAATCTATGAGCCACCTATTACGTCCCTATACCACTTTCTTTGTAAAGCTTTGGCTGTAAATACAATGCTACCTCCAGAATCACACACTTCATTCTAGAGCTCTGGAGATGAGTGGAGAGTCTCTGCAGAAGACAACCACTCACAGCTGACAGGCCTTGACCCCTAGCTCTCTGACCTTGGCCTCTGCTTTTCCTGACTTACTGATCACGTGTGTATTGGCTCTCTGGAACAAGCAGCAGGTTTTGCCGACACACTTAATGCAAGCTTCCCTTGACCCCTGCACCAGTGCTTGCTTGCTGCATTTTATGTAGGCAAAGCTGTAAACACCTCATCCTAGCTACCCCCTCCACCCTGTGCTAGAAGTCAGCCATCCCTCTGCTGAGTCTTGGTAAGAAGTACCAGAAGAGTAAATAGACTTACAAGTTGCAGGCCTGGCCTGGCCTGGTCTGCATTTGCTGGAATGGGGATGGTAAGCTCATGTCAGTTCTTTGGTTTGGTTTGGTTTGGGTTTAGCGTTTTGTTTGCTTGCGTGTTTGATGGTACTAGGGTCAGAACTTAGGACCTTGTGCTTACTAGGCACAAACTTCTTCAACCACTCAACCACTTTACCTCTACCTTCAGTTCTTTTTGCTTTCCTTATTTTTTGAAAAGGGTCTCACATTTGCTAGGTTGGACCTGGACCACAGTCCTCTTATTTAACTTCCCATGTAGCTGGGATGACAGGTACACACCATCACACTCACCTTTTTATTGGTTGAGATGAGGTCTTGGAAACCTGGGCTGGTCTGCCACTGCCATTCCTACCTATGATCTCAGCCTCTCAAGTAGCTAGGATTACCAAAGTGAGCCATTGAGTCTTGCTATGAATCTACATTATTTATTTATTTATTTATTTAGGTGCTAGTCCTGGGGCCTGAACTCAGAGCTTGGGTACTGTCTCTGAGCTTCTTTTTTTTTTTTTCTTATTTGTTTGTTTGTTTTTTGGTCTGAGACTGGGACTCAAACTTGGTATCTGATGCTTTCCTCGTTGGCTGGCACTTACGACCTGACCTGATCCATGCCTCCAACCCTTGAGCTTTTTTGTTCAAGGCTAGCACTCTACCACTAGAGCCACAGCTCCACTTTTGGCTTTTTGGTGGTTAATTGGAGTTAAAAATCTCAACAAGTTTTTCTGCCTAGAATGGCTTTGAACCACAATCCTCAGTGAGCCTCCTGAGTAGCTAAGAAACAGGCATGAGCTACCAGTGCCTAGCCAAATCTAGATTTTTAGGTAGCTCAGATGGTGGTTGATGCAGGTAGTTCTCAGAGGAATTCTCTGGGCCAACCCTCAAAACTTCTCCCCCAAGATAAGTGCAATCTTTCCTGAATCCCTTAGCTCAGGTGCCTCTCTGTGTCCAAAAGGTCATCCCACAGTGGTGACTGGCCACTGACTTCTGTACACATGATTGCTGTTTCCAGCCTTTGGATTGTAAGTTTGCAAAGGCAAGCACTCTGTCCAGCATTATTGCCATTGAATTTCTATTACTCACTACTGTTCTTAGCATCATAAAGATGTTGAGTGAGTCAGAGAAGCATTGAAATCTCACTTGTCCCTCCCAGTAGTTTGTTATGTGCCTCCTCTACCACAAAGTCTCTTCATTTTAGAATTACTATTCTCAGTCTATACAGTGACTAGGGAGTACAGACTCGGAGCGGTAATTCTAAATGCACTAAATGTCTCTCATAGTAAAGTAATAGTTAAGTAATTTGAAATTGCGCATACCTTGGCTGTCAGTGACAGCTCACCTTTATTGTGAGCTTACTACATGCCAGACAAGGCTCTTAGTGCTTATTTACTCATTTCATCCTAACAAGAATCTTGTAAAATAAGTACTAATTTTATCCCCTTATTCCAGAATAGGAAATTTGAGTTCAGAAGACTAAGCAGGTTGTTAAGATAGGCAGGTTGGCATTAGGGCTCATTACCACTGAACTATACATAACTGTCCAATGGCTCTGCAATCCATGCTAAAACATGTAAGTTGTTTTTTTTTTTTTTTTTAAACTAGTTACTGGTGTTCTAAGTCACAGGGAGAGAAAGCTTCAGTACTGTGAAGATCCTTTAGTCCTTTATTCAGTTGTTGATTCATTATTCTATCAGTCATTTATTTGGATAACACATGTATACTGAGCAAGCAGTTGGGTCAGGCCTTATGTTCTTCATGACCATAGATGGGCCTGTTCCTTCTGGTGGTATAATGGTATAATGGAGTCATTAGCAGAGTGACTTATTTGACTATACTTCTAAATGCTGTTATAAGTAACAGTAAGTACAGAGTATTTGTCTGTGTAATGATCTCTTATATATTTTACCTGGACCAGCTTCTTAGTCCTCTAAAGTAAACAGTTATTATCCTCAATCTGCAGATTAGAAAACCCAACACAGAGGGGTAAAGCAAGCTGTATGTAGAGCTAGGATTCCATAGGAGGACATCAGCCTCCACAATCAAAATGTAGTTTCGAGAAAATGTTTTAAATCCTTACCTTGAAATCATACAAGTTGTCAATGAGAGTTATGAATCTTCGAGCTTGAGTCATCTTTGCCAGCGTAAATTGTGGAATGTTTCGTAAAAATAGTGTATCAAAATTCTTTGAGAGTTCCAAATAGTCACTGGCTCCAACTGCCTGTAATTAAAACAAAATCAAGGAAAATAAAATAAACTAGTGTTAGTCACCTTTAGATCTGTTGAATTTGAAAATTAGCTTGTCACAGTGTGACTTTGACATGCCTTGAAGTGCCTTTGAAGTTTATCAGAATAGGTTAGGGATACTGACACTGTACACAGTATGGCCTTAACAATGATTTTAAAAAGCAATGAGGAAAGAGATTAGGAGTGCAGTGAGGGTAAAAGAATATCTCAATGGTAAGGTACCTTTTATGTCAGTATTCTAAGTCCAGACTGCCATATTTTTTTATCTAGATGTCATCCTTTTAAATATTTCTTACAAGTCAACTGCACACTGTCACTATTGTTCAGTGGAGGTATTTTATAATGGTATATAGGATATTGCATAAAATAAAGACTATTCTTTCTGTATTTCTTCTGGAATAATTTTTTGTTTAATTCTATGTATAAGTTTTAAAGAGGAAAGTAGTAAGCTTTGCTAATTTTGTTAGGTACTACCTACCAAAAGGCTTGATTGCGCAGACATCTGAGACCTCTAGAATAATTTGGAGCCAGGCACCAGTGGCTTATGCCTGTAATCCTAGCTACTCAGTAGGCTGAGATCTGAGGATGGAAGTCTGGGTGAGACTCTTATCTCCAATTAACTACCAAAGAAGCCACAAGTAGAGCTATGGCTCAAGTGGTAGAGTGCTATCCTTGAGCAAAAAAGTTCAGGGACAGCACCCATGCCCTGTGTTCAAGCCGCAGAACTGGCACCCCTCCCTTCCAAAAAAAAGAATAATTTGGAGCGTCTTGCTAGAAAGAAGGTACATGATCAAGGTCCTCAAAGTTATCCAGAAAACTGCCACCTATAAGTGGGAACATGAATTTAATACATGAACATTAAGAAAGCTATCTGCAAACACATTCTTTGGTCTTAGAAACATCCCAGGAAATATGACCTCTATTCATCTCAAGTTGTGTGGGGGTAAGTGTACTCTGTGAGCACCAAAATCATGAGTCAAATCCAGGAGAGTGCAGTACTTCTGACCCTGCTAGAATGGGGAGGAGATCAAAGACTGGGTAGCCACTATGCAGTCCCTCAGAAAGCTTCTGGATCACCATGACCAGCTCCTGGGACAGGAGTGGCTGTGCCTGTCTCTTGAAGATCCTTTGCTTGAAAGCTTCTTTCTTTGGCAATGATGATCCGGCCATGTTTCTGAGAGAATTGGGAAGCTCTAAGTATGAGATTCTTTCTGTCCACTCGTGTAAGGCTACTGTATCCTCATGACCTCCTCTGAACAACGGAGTTCTCATGAAGGTATGGACATCTACAATTAAGTTCTGGAGAAGGGACTCCATTGAGAGAAAGAGAAAAGGCAGTTCTAAGAAAGGTACAATGATTTTGGGACCTTGGCCACATAAAACCAGAGAGGAAGAGTATAGAGAATGAATGACAAGACTCCTTTAGAAATGTGCTTAACATGACCTTTCTTTTCTTCCCCTCTCCCTTACTAGCTAAAAAAAAACCACAGCTGGAAGGAGATGACTTTTGTCTTTTCATCTTCTTTCTCTGTCTGGAGAATCTCTGTCTCTAAACCCTATGCTTGACCTTAGCTGAATCAAGCTGCTCACCATAGCCATGGAAGGGCTCAAGGGTGTCATGAGAACTCATTTTTGGTTTAGCTCTGACATTCTTACAAGGATGCTCTGACATTCTTACAAGGATGCTCTGCTGTCGTCTTCTTTCTCTGTCTGGAGAATCTCTGTCTCTAAACCCTATGCTTGACCTTAGCTGAATCAAGCTGCTCACCATAGCCATGGAAGGGCTCAAGGGTGTCATGAGAACTCATTTTTGGTTTAGCTCTGACATTCTTACAAGGATGCTCTGCTGTCAAGGCTCAACACACCAGAAATGTATATTCATTTAGGAATGAAAAGCAAGTGCTCTAGAATGCATGGGTTTGAATCCTTGGTCTGCTACTTATTAACTGGGAACTTTGAACAAGCTATTCATACAGTCTTCCTGTTCTTTAGTTTTTCTATCTATAAAATGGGAATTTGATTCATATCTTACAATATCAAGAAGATTAGTGAAGTAATATAGTTAGTTAGTGTAGTGGCTGGCCCATGCCTTGGCATTCACATCATTTCACTACTTTTGTTATTATTATTTTCAACACAAATGATTGGGTTCAAATAAGTTGAGAATATAGATATGGTATCCGTGGGAATCGGTTAATTTTGCTTCACAATTAACTGTATCCAAAACCCCTAAACAGCCTTTGTGACTTGCCTGACCTGAATCCCAGCAGGGCCCAGAAGAGAATGTGTCATTACATCACCATGTAATGCAAACAGTGCTCAGAATGGAATGAGGAAGGCAAGAGTATCTTTTTACACTAAAGAATAACATATGTAATATTCTCATGCTCTGAATCTATACAACTTCCATGAGATCAGTTAGAATTGTGTCTCATCTTTTGTGAATCAGAAAGTATATGTAAAAAATGTAAAACCTCATATTAGGTTTTAGTTATGTATAATTAAGCTCACTCTTTATGCATGGATGTGATTTCTATCAGTGTAACTGCATGCCCAAGGAAAATCATTATCAGAAGTGCACTGAAGTGCCTGGGGCAACTGAAAATCAGAATTCTGCCCACTCAGCTATTTTACAAATTATATACCTTTGTCAGTAGGTTCTTCATTTGTCATTGTATTAGCAAATATCTCTCTTCCTCATATCTCTAAAACAATCGCATGCTCTTTCTTATAATGAAAGCAAAACCTAATACAGTTACTTATCTCCAATTAAAACAATAGTCAGGGTGACACTGCCCCAAAAGAAATGTACTTATTACCTGGCTTATATAACTGTAACCCCTCTGTACATCACCTTTATAATAACAATACAAAAATGTTTAAAAAAAGTCATTAGAGGAATGTGGAGTTATAGTTTAATGCATGTAGTTTGGGATAATGAGAAAGTCCTGGAGATGGACAGTGGTGATGGTTATTCATGCCACCAAACTGGCTAAAATGGCAAATTTTACACTATGTATTATTTGTCACATTAACTAGCAGTCATTATAGTGAGAGGCTATGGATTGCCAAAGAAATCCCAAATTAAGCCACAGAGAGTAATACTACTTTTTCTTTAAAAGCATGAGAAAGAATGAAATGTATTAAATAATAAAGTCTTTTCCTAAAAGGAATCAAGATTAACCTAAAATATGAAGTAGTTTGTGGTGCTGGGGATCAAGTTCAGAGGCTTGCATATGTGGGCAAGCACTCTAACTCTGAGTTACATACTCAGCCTGAGTTTATTTGCTTTTGTTATTGTTATTTTAGTGATTACTGGCTTAGATGTTGAAGTGTCCAAGAAGTAAATTTCAGTGCTGAATTTGGTGAGCTATGGTGATTCCTATTCATCAAAAAAGCTACTTTTAATTAGCTAATAAAATTTTACCATCATAGGGTACAATACAATGGAAACTTTGGAACCACTGGTTTTTGTCATTTCCCATTTTGTGGATGATGAATCTCTCTGAACTTTAGTTTCCTCATCTATAAAGGGAATCATATTAAGATTTATTGCATAGTTTCCCCTCTGATGAGTCTGTCTTGCAATTAGGTAAAAATCTTAAAACAATGGCTACACATAGTAAGTTCTCAATAAATGTTGGCTATTAACTTACAGAAATGATACATGCATAGAGCATTCCTTAGCATGTAACACTCAGTAAATAGTAGTTATTGTCTATTATTAGCTATCTATTATTACCTGTCTATCTAATATTAATTATTAAACAATCCTTTTCCCAGATCATGCGTTCAACAGCCTAAACTAGTGAACAGGTGCACTGACTCCAAGCTTGTCTTTGAGTCCCCAAAAGATAAAAGAAGTTCTTTTTGATTCATCAAGATATCTGCCATGTACACCAAAGCTCTCTAAGAAGTCATATGTTGCTGACAAAAATAGCTTCTGGTTTAGTCTTTTTGTTTTTGTTGTTGTTCCAGTCCTCAGGCTTGAACTCAGGGCCTAGCACTGTCCTTCAGCTCTTTTTGCTCAAGGCTAGTGCTCTAACACTTAAGCTACAGTTCCACTTCTGGCTTTTTGGTAGTTAATTGGAGGTAAGAGTCTCAAGGAGTTACCTGCTTTAAACCTCTGCTCCTCAGATCTCAGCCTGCTGGGTAGTTAGAATTATAAGCATGCCCAGCTTAGAACTAAAATTGTAAGAACATTCCAACAACAGAAACAGATAGGATTTAAACAACTCATACAAGTGAAAATATAAAAGTATGAAAAAGTACAATCAAGCTTAGTAGTGACCAAACAAAGAAAAAATAAAAAATTATATACCATTTCTCATGTAGCAATTTGCAAACAAAAATAAATTATGCTGGTCAGTGTTAGCAAGCATGTATATCCATTCCTAGTAGAAGACTGTATTAAGAGCATACACATACAAACACACACACACACAGGTTTAAACTTTACCCAAACATTCCACTTCTAGAAACCAATCAGAAAAAATGAGCAGACATGCAATCAAAGCCTCTATGTACATAGGATATTTATAAGTATATCACAAAAAACTTAATATCTAGTAACAGAGCAATGAATCAATAAATTAAAGCACATTGGTGTAACAGAAAAACATGTTGTCAATAAATAAGTGTTATTTATTGACAGTGATATGGAAAGTATGTTTATGATTAAAATGCTAAGTAAAAAAGATAATGCAAAGTTATAATTTTATTAGGATATTTGTTTAGATTTGTATATTTGTTTGATAACCATTTTATAAGGGTTTTCTGTGTTTTTCAAAATAGAAAAACAAAAAAGTATTATGTTGAAAAGGGGTATAAACAAAACAATATAGAAAAGAAATGTTGAAGATCTTTAATAATTCCAAATAAGTTATATTTTATGCATTAAAAACTCAGATATGTAGCCTGCATCTTGCATAATAAGAATGCAGAGTGAATGTATAAAATATTCAGTACATATGT